GTCTCTGGAAGATTATGTATGTCGAACAAATTAAAAAGCAAAACAAACTAAAAGCAAAACGTGCTATATCTATACAATTGTATTCAGCCAACTAAAAAATACCAATGTTGAAGGCAAAGTAATGAAACAAGTAAAATAGAAAGAACACCAAGCACTTTATTTACAGCCACTTAATTTGTCACGCCGGCACTGATGTTTTTCTCAAACAATAAATATAAATTAATTCGAACATATAGTAGTTTTCATGTAATTAGTAACACATTATTTCAAGCTAATTTTATATTGTTACGCATCGCAGCATCAGTAAGGTCGCTGTTATTTTGACAAAGTCGTTTATTTTTACTTTATCTCAAATATTGATTCAGATGCTACTAAAATTAGCTGGGGGTTCAAAAATGTAAAACGGAATAAAATAATTCCTGCCAGCAAGTTCACTTTTTAAATGGCATTTACTTAGTTTCTGCGTGTTCGTAGGCCTTTGCGTCTAATGTATTTTCAATTATTTTAACTTAAAATCGATATTGTTACGAACGTAACGTTAACATACTTGTATACCTAGTGAGCTCGTTTTACTTTTATTTTGCCAGGAAGTGGGAGGGCGGTCCCCAGCACCGGCTCCGAAGTTCGCCCTGGGGGCTACTTGGGGCGCTTATGACACAGAATCACAGGTGCGATCGGAGTATGAAGTAAATATGATAACAGCTGGAAACTGTAAGAAGTCTCTTAAGGCAGTAAAATGCTACAATTTGCATTGAGTAAGTAAAAGCATGTTGTACTCTTTATTCAGGTATGGATTTAAACATAGGCGTTTGCAGCCTAAAACAAAAGGGGTAATCTACATTTCTCTAACACCCCCGGGCCCCTTTTTCCATTAAAATATTTTTATTTACATACGGCATGTTTTCTAAGAAATAATGAAATTACATGGAAATTGAAATTAAAACTTTCATACTAATTCAATAAATTAATGCAACTGATTTTATGACGAACGCATTTCGCTTTGGAGAGCCCAAATATCCTGTTTCAGTTCGCTAAATTGTCAGCTTAAAAATGGAAAAGTTATAAATTGATCATATTTATGAAAATAAATGTTCTATTACGTAGGACTACAGGGCCTCTAGAAATGTTCACGGACAAACGGACGAACGTTAAAAAAAAATAAAACACTTTCTCAGTATCAGCGGACCCCGAAACGTGCATTTCCGTAGAAATCTCGAAATTGATTTTCCGGAGCCGTACACAACTTTCCCTGTATATTACTCCGTATACACGTATGTGTACAGGAAAGTAAAAAGGCATATTCTATGAAGATTTCATAGTATTTTTTACAATTCCCCCTTCAAGTACATTTTAAAGTTGAATATCTCTTGCAATACGTTAAGAGATGACGCAACACTATTGTAACCATATTTAAACACGTTCTTCATTGTTCATCAACTACAACTAATGTTTTGGTCCTGCATTGTTCTACTGTGCTGAACCCACGAACTAATTACCAAATATATTCAACGGATGATAAAATTAAAACCGTTCCTCTCTTTCCTGAAAAGACAAACTAATTTTGTCGTTAGAAACCTCGCCGCTGTGGCCAATGTAACTAGTGCGAAATCTCGGCAGGAATCCTGCACGAAAGAAAAACACGAAAACAGAATGCGAACGATCTGGCGCAGCAGTGTGGCTTTCATTGCGTTGCTACGGAGCTTGACCTCATGCAGGGTGTCCCCTCTGCAGGGGTGCTGAGTTTATACCGAAGGTCAGAGTTGGACAATACGCGGAAATAATATTGCGGAGTAATGAAGCGCGCTAAGTCTATTGGCAGAATTCTCCTGCGCACTATCCAACTGGATGCAACAATCAAAACTGTAAAATGTGTTTAAACATAATCAGAGCGAATGCTTAAATAATTACACTAGAAGGCCACAGTTTTACTTTTAACGTTTTTTATGTCATGATTTCAAAACGATCATATTAATTACAACTAGGTTAATGTCATTAAAGTACAATGAATTTAATGGTTGAACTAGTCTTGGTAAGTTTTACATCATTGTATATCACAAGGGAACCCAATGTTCTAATATAATAATCAATATTAAGCACCATCTTGGTTTACGGTTGCTCAGTGCGATCTAGAGTTTGGGTACAAATAAGTCAAATTGTCCAACAAATTCCTCAAGAATATAAACTAATTTTCTAAATAACCCACAAAATTAAACAATAGATCATACTTTTTAAATGTTCCAGCTTCTTTTCAAAAAACGTTGAATTTGTATTATCTCTTTATCTCTTACTATTCTGCTTATGCCTGCTACTTCTTCTACTCTACGTATGCCTCGAAAAAAGGTAATCCAACAAATTAGAGCGCGAAACGGCCATGAAGGCAACAAAATGCTCTGGACTGAAAAAACAGGAATGTGCAGTGGAACCCCATCCTCCAAAAGAGAAGTTGGTCGACCCCGTGCTGCGCTGACAGCGAGCGCCGCCGCAGGCAGGTGACACGTCTCGGGGTAAGCTTGCTGATTGAACGATTGCGTCTCTGGGCTCGTCAGTCTCGTGCGTGTTGTGCATGATATTTCTCGTTAGGCGGCGGTTGGTGTTCCTTCCCCGCTGGAATGTGGATCCGGCGCCGACCTTCGCGCCCGCTAGTAGGATGGTGCATGGTGAAGATCTGCCTCTGAGCCAGCTCAGCCAGTCCCTCCGAAAGAGATAACTTGGTCGGACTGAGCCACCATTCTGCCAGACCGCTTTCGCCGCAGGGGCAGGGCGGAGCAGGAGGTCGGGAGCACTGCGGGACGCTGTGGGTGGGGGTGATGGTAGAGCACGGATGGCGGGCGACGGCCGCGTGGGTTGGGGTAGGGGTAAGGGATTGGGGCTGGGGCAGGGGCTATAGCAGTCGCGCCTTGCACGCACCGCGCTGGTACGATAGCGTCAGCCGCGCGGGAATTATGGAAGAAATACGGTCTCCGCGCGGCGCTGCGGGCAGGGGGCGGTGCGGTGCAGAGCGGGTGAAGGGGGGGGGGCAGCGGAAGCCGGCCGGCGCGACAGGCACTGTGTGGCACGGGGTTGGCGAGGAGGAGGAGGCGAGTTGAGCGGAAGGTGCAAGAAGTTCTAAGGGCGGTTACGATTTGCGCGTATTCTGGCGAAGGAAAAAATGTCTAGTATGTTCTTTCATTATACGACAATGTCAGATTGCGCTCTTTATGACAATGCAGGTACAATATGTTTTTTCTATTTTTGTTATATTTTCACTAGCCCTATTTGCGAGATGCAAAGATTCAGCCTAAATAATATTCAAGCTTCTAGAGCACAATAGCATTTCCTTATGAAATTTCCTTTTCCTTCCTTTTTTAAAAACTTATTTTAATAATAATATATACCACGTCAGTCCCCAAAGTTGGTTCTAACTTTTCAACATGTTTTCATGGCACAAATCAAGAACTTTGGAAGAATCAAGATCCGGTTTCATAAGGGAAAAAAAAACATCCCTGTGAAGTTCGGAATCTTCTAGTATCAAAATCATGGATGAATTTGTACCTGATGAGGGAGACAGAACAGTCTCCGAAACGTTGTAATACAAGTGAATAACATTAATGTATATAATAAACTTTTCTGGAAGTTTTCATTGTGGATGTACATAATTCAAAATAAGAGACTAAACAACAAGTAAATAAAATTTCCTTTTCACATAATATCAATACTCGACACAAGAATTGAGTATAAGTGTTTCCAATTTGATTGGTATGTAGCAGGTAAGTAAATAATTATCTTTTTCTGACAACACAACTAAATGACACGAATATTGAGTTGTTTTCGTGTAATTTTGAGCGAAATATAGCAAATTTTAATTTTTTGAAACAAGTTTGTGAAAAACAGCTCCAAACTTTTTCTTTAAATTTTGTCTTCTTCGTATGTAATATGTAATCTTCGTATTTCAAAATTGTTCTCTTCGCTCTCTTTTCAAAATGGAAAAGAGTTAACATTTCAAAACTAGAAAATTTAAGAAAAAGATTGTCTTCGACAAAATCTGTTCCATGAAATCAGCTTTAAAAAAGGTCTTCTACAGATTTGAAAAAAAAAGAATAGTTTTCGCGTAATTGGAACAATTTATAGAAAAAAAACTTTTCTTAAAAAACCGCTCCAAATTTTTTTCACGGATAGATGACGGAGCGTATAAATGAATGGCGCAGATCTAATTTCGTTCAACTATTTGAATTTTCGAAAGTTACAAATTTGGAAACAATACCAGAAAATATGCGCTGTTGTAGTGCTACTAGTTCATACATTCTTCGATTTTATTACTCGCCGTTATTGTGTACTATGCTGAATCCTACATGTAAATAAATTTGATAACATAAGTGAATGTGTGCTACAAGCTGGCGATAAATCTGTAAAAATGTCTGCTGTCAAAGCAAATTACAGATTTTTTCCCGTTCTTCCAGTTTTTTGCAAGTATTTCCAGGTTCGCTGGCCACCCTGCAGACATTTCGTTGGCCTCACCAATATTCAGTTAATTACTTTGTTGGAAATTCACTTTCATTATCATCGGCTTACAAAAACAATAACTGTTGACGTTGGGAAACTGACGCTTTACACCAAAACCTACCAATAACGGAATGTAGTATGACGTATCAACTTAACAGCAAAATATCCAAATTTGGTACTTTTGAAAAAAACAATTCCGGATACACGTTTGACAGAATAAGAACTCTTAAAGCGAAAATAGAATTGAAAATGGAAGCAAAGATAGCAATGTCTCACTAGAAAGAAGATAGTCTCGTCTCGTTTTGTAACGAAATTTATATCAGCTATTTCACATCACTTGAAAATGTAAATTTTTAGAATGTGTTGATCAAAACGACCACAAATATAGAATTTATATAAACTTGGGTATTCATTAATGTGTTTGATTACTCTTAAGTGCTGACATCCTCTTTTATTGAATTCAGAAATGTATCACCATTTACGCGTTCCCAGATCCAATTACGGATTTCTGCATATGCTGGTTAGCAAGACGACAGATTTCTTCCTTTCTGGAACACACAATATTAATATAATTTCGTTTCGAAAATGAAATAAGGGTGATTGAACATCTTTTTCTTTTGAATTTAACTCAGTCACTGATGCGAGCTCTGCAGCGACTCTGACCAGGATGTCCTAGGATTTGTTTCCGGACAGTGGCAGTTTTTCGATACTAGATGCATCGTGAGATTAAATCCCCCCGCTGTCTGGGGAAGAATACTAGCGGACGGCTGATCCGTTTTCCGTCTTTTTTTTCGATCAATACTATGTGAATGCCGGAACAGTTCCCTAAGAAACGGGCCACAGTGCGAGCGCAATGTTTCTCTCTTCCTCGTGATATCCTCTCTCTTACACACACACACACACACACACTTTCACTTACAAGCACAACTACATCATGTGATCAAACGTTTTTGGACACGTCCAAACCGGTGATATGGTGTGGTAGATTTTTTCATGGAGGGGGCTTGCCCTTAGTTGTTTTGTGTGGTACTATCACGGCACAGGCCTACGTTGATGTTTCAAACACCTTCTTGCTTGCCACTGTTGAAGAGCAATTCGGGGATGGCGATTGCATCGAGCACCTGTTCGTTCTGCACGGCCTGTGGCGGAGTGATCACACGACAACAACTTACCCGTAATGAACTGGTCTGCACGGACTCCTGATTTGAATCCTATCGAACACTTTTGGGATGTTTTGGAACGCCGACTTCTTGCAAAGCTTCACGACCTACATCGATACCTCACCTCAATGCGGCACTCCGTGAAGAATGGGGTGTAATTCCCCGAGAACCTTTCTTCCAGCACCTGATTTAAAGTATGCCTGCGAAAGTGGAAGCTGTCATTTAGGCCTACGGTGGGCCAATACCCTATTGAATTCCAGCATTACCGATGGAAGTTGCTACGAACTGGTAAGTCATTTTCAGCCACGTGTCGGGCCAACTTTTCCTCACTTGGTCTTCACGTCGGGCCAACTTTTGATCACATAGTGTACCACACATGACGGAAGATCAGATATTAGCACGACCGAGAAGATACCTAGAGAGGGAAATCCACGCAAGCCGACCTATAGGTCGGCGCCGGATCCGACTATCCAATGGGGGAGGAACTCCTCCACCTTCCCGGTCCAAACATTTACAACGCTAACGGGACTAATGACCTTAGCAGTTGACGCGCCCGGAAATGCCAATGAATCAATTTTAGCGTAGCATTCCTTTTCCTCCTTTGACCTCGTGCATCACCAGTTGGGCCCTTCGCTTCCGCGTGCACTTACCACGGAGGGGGGCAGGGAGGCGAGCACGAAGCGGCCCGCGGCGTCGTCGCCCAGCGCCGTGAGCAGGCGCGGGGCCGCGCCCAGCAGCGCCAGCGCCGCCGCCACGTTGCGCGCCACGCCGCCCGCCGCGCGCGCGCCCGCCGTCGCCGTCACCGTGCGCCCGTCCAGCTGCAAGCACACGCACGCGCGCGTTAACCCTCCTGTTGAAGCAGCGAAATACTGGGAGACCTTTGCTGAAAAAATTCTGCCTGGCATCTGCTAAAACGCCTGTTTACGCATTGTTACTCTGAAAACGTTCAACACATCAACAGTTAGTATTCGCAGCATATGAATCACTAAGTATTGAATGAAGAAAAGTGCTAGCGTTTCCTGGTTCTGGCAAACGGAAAGTGTTCTCCTTACAGTTTGTAGTTTTCGTGCGTAGTGAAATTCGCGCGGGAATCGCGCGTAAATACGTTTCGGAAATGCAATACCAACTTGACATAATAATACAACCTTCAGTGCAGTCGACACTCGCGAATTGCTTAGCTCCTACATATGTGCGAGGCGGGTCGCCACGAAACTGCTCGGCTCCTTCTCAAACAATGCAAACAATCTCGTCGCGTCTTATGTGGGGAAAAAAATTGAATTCCGAGAAATTGCTACAATGCGCAATGCAATGTAATTTAGAGAAGAATAAAAGTCTACAAACGCGAAAAATGGCGCACGGCGGAAAACAAATATGGCCACCATTTGTAAACCAAATTTGATTTTTTTCTTGAATTAAAAACGTTTGTGAACAGCGAAAACAAGGGGATTCATGTACAAATATGATTTTTTTCGAGATGGTCGAGCGACCGAATTATTAACTTCCGGACCATTTAAAATGGACTGACCCGTAAGGAACAGGTGAGCGAAAGGAGAGCAAGGAGAAAGGAGGAAAGGAACCGGCGGAGGGAAAGAAGCGAGGTTGAGCGGTAGGTTCAGGACGAGCGGTAGGAACAGATGGAGAGGAAGAAATGGATGTAGAGGAAGGAACAATGTTGAAGAAGTGATGGGAGGAGAGAAAGGAGCGGGTCGAAGGAACGAGCGGAAGGAACAGGAGGAAGGAGGGGAGCGGCAAATACCCCAACAACGCCGGGTAATAAAATATCCTAGTACCGAATTGGCACTTTTGAAATATAAAACATAGTGAGATCTCTACATGAATATCTGTTACGATAGTCACGGCCTCTAAATTAGTAATTAATTACGAAATACTATACTTCATGGAAAGTTGCGACTTAGCTGTGAGGTCCCCGACCTCTCTATTCACAAAAAAATTTTGTGAAATCGGCGAAATGATGAAACGTGATTGAATATTCACCTAATGGCACTCTTCACTAATTATTCCGCTTTCACCGCTAAAGGTAAACAGTGCTGTGTAACATTACACACTAGTAGGTACTCTGATTTAAAATCACGTTCTCTGCAAATATCATTTACAAAGAGAAAGCATGATGGTTGCATGAGCTATTCACCATCCATTTGCTTTGAAAAGCCGCAGTTGTAATCCTAAAACGCTCTCAAATATGCGTTATGTTCCTCTACCCAGCACTACTGAATACTTATGCTGCATCAGCGGAAATTCGAGAGTGTGCAGTATTAAATATTCATTAAACAGGAGAACTGCATACGTTCTAGTTGCTCTATCAAAACGACACATTATTCAATATGCAAATGCTCTCGTTGGGAAATAAATGCATCAGGGATCTCGGTTTAGGGAAAGCTTGCACGGAAAACGGAAATTATAATCCAAACGTCAAAATTACAAACTATGCAGAAATAATTTCTTACACAATGAGTAAACTGAAAAAGTTTCACGAACTTTATTTTATTAGATCATTAATATCTCATATTTGTTCAAATTTACTTTATGAATTATTTCACCTTTTGGATTATGAGAAGAAATTAACATCTTTATGAACGGATAAGGAATAAGTTTTGACATAGAGATAAAAAATAAATTAACATTACATCAGGATAAAATATTAAATTATCTTCTTCTTGCCGTTTTCTAGACCGCTACTTCGGTCTGCCATCGCCTAATCTTCTTCTCCAGTCTTCCCTGTTCTTCCAAGAATCAGGAGGTAATTTCCACTTCTCGATTATCTTTCTGATCTGGTCGTTCCATCCTGGTCTTGGTCTGCCTCGTTTTCTCCTTTCACTTGGTTGCCATTCTATGGATCTTCTGGGTAGCCTTTTCTCGTTCATTCGCTGAACATGTCCAAAACAAGTGGTCCAAGTCCAAGCCCCTTCTAGATATTGCTGCAGTTCTTGTGAGGAAATCCATTTTCAAAGCCCTCAATTTTCTTTTCAGTTGTTCTGAGAGCTGTCATATTTCTGCTCCATACAATTTGACACTGTCAATCATACATTTATATAGTTTAATTTTCTTTTTTTTTGCTTATATTTGGATCCCAGATAACTGCCTTCAGGGCTTTTAAAATTTTCTTCCTTTAATGAGTCGGGTTTCCTTTCCATAAAAACCCTGTTTTTCTATTGTTGTTTCCAAGTCCTTTATGTCCTCTGTTCTTATTATTTCTCCAGTTTTCATGGTCAATACGGCATGTGAACTGCCTTGAGTCCAGTATACTGTGTTTTCTAGATTGAGGCTTAGTTCCCATTTCTCATTATCTTCTTTTATCTTCCTAGTCATTTATTCAATATCTTCTTGTTCTTGCGCCATCAGCACCTGATCATCAGCGAAATGTAGGGTATAGAGTGTTGTACTATCATCAAGTGGTATTCCCATCCCAGCACATTGTCTTTTCCATACATGTAACAAAGCATTAACACATTTTAAAGAGTGTAGGTGACAAAGTATCCTTACCGTAGTCTGATATGGGATTCTGATATGGGAAATGTTTGGGTCATTTGTTTTTAACTTTAACTTTTCCCTTTTGATCTATATACAATTTCTTCACAGCATTTATTAAGATTTCATTTACATTACTTTTATACATTACTTCCCATAACTTTATTATTGGCACACTATCATACGCCTTTGCTATATCAAGGACGACCATGTGAAGTTCTCTCCCTGTTTGCCATTTCTTGTGCATCATCTGGGACAGACAAAACAGGTTATCTAAGGAAGGACCTAAAACCACTTTGTTCTTCTTTATACTTCTTGTATCCATCTTCTATTAATTCTCTTAATATTATTCCATGTACCTTACTGAATGTGTTTGTCACTGCTATCCCTCTACAATTTTCACATAAGTCTTTCCTTTCTTCTCTATATATTGGTGTTATATAAGCCATTTTCCAGTCTTCTGGCATATCGCCTTTATTTATACACATATTCATTAGCTTCGTCATCATTCTCACTAGCTTTGGTGTTCCATTCTTTATCAGCTCGCTTGGGATTTCTCCTGGACCCGGAGCTTTACCGGTTTTTGTTTCTTTGATATATCTCATAACTCTCTCTTCGGTTACTGTAATTTCCCTTTTTGGAGATATCTTTTCCCTTTCTGTAGTTCAAAAAAAGTCTGATCTTCCTTCATTTAATAATTTTCTAAAGTACTCTTCCCATTTGCATACAGATTTACTGTGTATGCGGATTTTTTCCATTTGGATAGATTTTACTTTTTTTATGAACTTCTAAATCTCAGTTTTTGTTCCACATATGAACATTACTTCTTGACATTTAAGCTCTCATGATTGATGTTTTTCTTTTCTTATGATGTTCCTAACTCTATTTCGTTGGATTTTATATTCGTCTCTATTTTCTTCTTTCTTGGTACTCAACCATTTTTCATACAGTCTCTTCTTCTCCTCTATTTCCCGCTCCAGGTCTTGAGTAATCCAATAGTTCTTCCCTCTCCTTTTCTTATTTAAAGGTATTTCATCAAGCGCTTCATTCGCCGCTTTATGTAGACAATCTTTGAGGTGTTCATAAATCTTCTCATTTGATCCAAGTTTTCATTCAGTAAATTATCCAAACTGTTTTGAAATAAATATCTTATAGTTGGTTGTTATAGACCCGCTATACTATATTTCCTACCTACGGTATTTTCATTTTTGTCTTCCTTTCGTTCTTTGATCTCCGTTTCTTTTTGTTTTATGGGTGGAAACATTATTTTGACCTTCACTAGGTAATGGTTGGATCTACATTCTGGGCCTCTGCGTGCCCTGAAATCTATTACTTTACCCATTAAATACTGTCTAGTGATTACGTAATCGATCACTGATCTCCTTCCTCTTACCTTATGTTCCCATTGAACATATGCTTGTCTTTACGCTGGAAGTGGTCGTTTCTAATTATAAGTTCATGCTGTTTACATAGTTGAAGTAATCTTCGTCCATTTGAATTTTCCACCTCTTCTTCATGTTGTCCGATGACGTTTGAGCTCTCAGATTTTCCCACTCCAGCATCAAAATCGCCCAATAAGATAGGTTCTCTATTTAGCCCACATTCACTGATTACTCCGTCTATTTTTGAATACAATTCCTTCAAAATACTAGTATAATTTTTATTTGGCGCATACACTCCAAGAATCGTCATTTTGTATCTAAAACTTTCCAAATTTACTTTAATAAGCCTCTCGTCTCTGACTTCCCAACTTTTAATATGGTTTCTTAATTTATTTTTTATGACAATGGAAATCTCTTTACTACCCCTCTGATCTTTTGTTAATCCGCTCCAAATATGAACATATGATCCAATCTCGTCTACACCCGAGCCGTTTTTCTTTGTCTCACTTAAACTTGCATTATCCATATGTAAATCTTGAAGTTCCTTAATTACCTCCTGTATTTTATTTCCCAAACCTGAGTATTCCATGTTCAAATATTCATTATCCATTTCCTTTGCCTAGTCCGACTCCGGTTACCGTCCGTTTTCTCATGATTAGGCCTTTTAGCATTTCTTACATTTTACATGAACGACGAGGAGCCCGCCGTCCCAACCGCCTACTAGGACGATCAGGATTTTTTTAGGGTTTACTCCCCTAGGAGGATGGCTTCACCGAGCGCTTGAGCTCCTCCTGTCCAGATCTCTTTTGGAATCTTCTTGATCCGTTGGCGAAATCATACCCGTACCCTTCATCCCTCGGTAGAAATGTAGGCTAGGATTTCTGCCTAACTCTTCGTTGCGGGATCCTTTTAAGCGCACTGTACCGGATGTTCTCTTCTTGCGCCCGCGT